ACTTCTCTCTCTCTCTCTTTCTCTCTCTCTCTCTCTCTCTCTCTCTCTCTCTCTCTCTCTCTCTCTCTCTCTCTCTCTCTCTCTCTCTCTCTCTATATATATATATATATATATATATATATATATATAACTCACTGGCGCCCTTTTCCGTTGCAGGTTCTGAGTTCTGCGTTTCCTCCGAGACATTCCCCGAGAAGGAGTTTTGTGATAAGGATCGGGACTGGCTGGGTCTCTGGAGTGACCCTGAGACCAAGTGGAATCTCGCACCTGATAACGTGGTTTCCGGTAGATGTACTGTGCTTGTTTCGAATCTGGAAAATTTTCCCTCGTCTAATTAAGGATAAAAATAAATATTTTGATGATACTACTGATACTGCGATTAGTACTACAAAAATTAATAATGTCAATGAAATTATTACTAATACTATTGATATGAATACTGCTACTACTAATAAGAATATACTACTGCTATTAATGATAAAGATACTGTAATGATAATGATAACAATAGTGATGATGATAATAATGATAATAATGATAGTAATAATTATAATAGAAAAGCAATATCATTATTATAGGTTCTGTTATATGTAAGAGTATCTAGATTCGTGAAAAAATCAAATTACAAAATAACTATATATTAGCGACATTCTCTGCTTAACACTTTGCATTCATATTGGCGTATGTTAGGACCTGTGAGGACCGTCATTAACTGTCAGTGACATTATGACGATTTCTATTTCACATTAGTTCTCGAATTCCACATGTGCCTACATGTGATAAATTCTAGGAAGTTACTTTATTAATTGGGTTACATATGAGGCCAAAATCAATGTAAGAAAGGGAAATACCATGAAAAATGCAAAATAACATTAAATACCAACAGCATTCAGTAAAAGAACGAAAGAAAAGTAAAATCATCTAATTATAAATCCTCACAGGATGCAGCCAGTACTCCCTTCTTCGTCTCTCTTTGGATCTGCACGACTGGCCCACCAAGCTGCTCTGGCGGCCGGGCGAACGCGCCGAGAGCTTGCGCTTGGGTTTATGGCGAACTGGAAGTGTTTCATGGGAACGTGTAGGTCCATTTAATTTCTCCAGGAAAGCAGATTCGCAACTCCCTTATGACTTGACATTTCGGAGTGTGTCTGAAGGTAATTCTACTTCCATTAATTTTAATCGGTGAACTAGGCGCGGAGTTCTTAGATGAGCAGTGATAATAATAATAGTGATAATGACTAATATAATAATATAATAATAGCAATAATGATTACTGTGATAATAATAATGATTATAATAATAATGATGATACTACTACTAATAATAATGATAATGATTATGATAAGAATATTAAGAGCAAGAAAACAAAAACGAGAAAATACCCATAGTAATAGTAATAATAATGGTAAAAACAATAATGATAAAGTTTATAATAGTAAAAATGATAATAGTGATAATGATCTTGATAATGATAATGACAATGATGATGATGACGAAAATGATTATCATTATTATGAGAAAGCATTTAAAAATGCATTCTGTCTCCGTCTCCACTTTTATAATAAAAGTCACCTTAACCCGCCTGACTTTTCTTCAGATGGCTCCTGCGTGGTGACGAGCGCCAGCCTCGACGTGTCCCGCACTTGTCAGATGAATCAAACAGGAATATTGCGCATTTCCATTGAAAGCCTTGACGACAACGGCGAATGGACTCCGAGCTACTTTTCCTTCAACTGCGAGGATGGCGCAGGTGAGTTCTTTCCTTTCCCTATGATCTCAATTTGGGAAGTTCATCGCGCGAAAGATTCGGCAAGCTTTCGATGACAGAAATGAGAAAAAATGATACTAATTGGAATCATGAAAATAGGTTTTATATTCACGATGAATATGCTAATTATGTTAATGTTAATAATAATGAAGGTATTATATCGATGAAAAACAATTATAGTAATATCAGTGACAAAAAAGTGATTGTTAACAGCAGAAAGTTTGATAATAAAAGGGATAGTAATACTGATGAATCATGGGTCGTAGCCAAACCGAACGCCTTTTTAAAATCTGACTGATAGTTGAACATTATATTCCTTATATTGCAGTTATTTCTAAAGCCTTATCTTGCACAAAATCTTCTAGGATGGCAAACCGGCTCAACGACTTCAAGCCCTGATGACAACAGTACTGAAGGTCAGTTTGAGGATGGCACATAATGATGAATAAATAATGAAATAAATAATAATAGATAATAAATAAATAATAAAATAAATAAATAATGAAAAGGAATGATAATGATAATGAAAAGATAGCGCTAACAATAAAATTGGTTTTAATAATGTAAAAAAAAAAGAAGTAAAGACAATGATATTGTTAATAATGTTACTGAATTATCACATTTGCCTTTTGTATAACACGCATCCTCGCTAGAGATGCACTCGTATTCTATTTTGTGAAAAAAAATGTATTGTTTTGTTTCCTGTAAATAAACTTACCGGTACGTAATGGGAGATCGAACCCCAACTCTTACCTCTCCGATTAAGTGTGTAGTTGTCTATATTCTGAGCAAGAGAAGTGTTATCCAGGACGTGAATCTCGCATTTTTCAATGTTCGTGTTGCCGCGACAGGCCACCAGGGCGGCGCACCATCGCATGGTGTGGTTTTGAATTCATCCTCTCACTGCAAATGGTTGACAGGCGGATGTTTAACATTCCTCTCGATTTTTAGGAGTATTTTCATTTAGAAAATGAACGTCTCTTAACGGTGTATAATGTCTTATAATAATATAAGATAGATGTGGGTTATGTATGCTGAGGAAGGAGGTAATTGAGATGATGTGAGCTTCCCTTGTAACTTGTTAGTTTGTGATAAGAGACAGTGACAAATAGGTTTGTTTCCAATAATACAATTTGCTATAATAATCTGTGTTATGTTCAATATTCTATTATTAGCAGCCAATATGTTCGTCCGGCTCCCTAGCCTACGGCGCTTGGTCTCCCATCCGCAATACGGCCGCGTTGGACATTTGTTTAAATACATTTTAAAATCTTAGAAGTGCGCCCAATGTGCTATGATGGTGATGAAGGTAGCCTAGTAATAAATAACAATGATAATATTAATAACACTGGCAAAGATATCAACTGCAATAATGACAGCGAAAGTAATGAATATAGATCTGTATCGAGATGAGTGAAGCTCTGCAGCCAAGAAGGAAACCTTTACACAGTCTGATGGCAAAGGTGATACTAAAACCGAATCCCAATGACGTCAGCAAGGAAGGCGAGTGGGATAGGAAAGGAAGGTGGGAAGGAGAAACGTATTCAGTACATACATAGCCAGTGATCCACATTTTTTTTTTTCGAGGGGGGGGGTATCTTGAATATCTTCCTTGATAACTCTTAGATTATAATGTTTCTCAGTAATAGGTTTTGGTAGCATATAAAGTAATATGAATTTTTATATTGTATAATGGGACTAGATATTATACGGTCTGGTCTCCATACACATATGCACACACACAGGCACATACGCACATACACATATATTTGCAAGTGTATACATGTGCGTGTGTGTGTATTCATATGTATATCCATTCAAATATATAATATACAGATGCATATTGTATAGATGTATATATGTATATATACATGCATACATATATATGTGTGTACGCACACACACACACATATACACACATGTATAAATGTGTATACATATATATATATATATACATTTACATATGTATATATATACATATATGTATATGTATATACTTTTTAAATCCATTCATACGTTCTTACACACACATATATATTACATATATAAACTTCATATATAAATATGTATATGAATAAACACTGTATTTCTATATGCGTATGCAGGCGAGTGCATGCGCATGCATATGCATTTACATATACATACATACCTACACTCTCACCCACACATACTCTCTCTCTCTCTCTCTCTCTCTTCACACACACACACACACACACACACACACACACACACACACACACACACATATATATATTGTATAGCTTAAGGCCAGATATCCGTGGAGAGTTATCCTGTGAGGAGGAGAGAGAGAGAGAGAGAGAGAGAGAGAGAGAGAGAGAGAGGAGAGAGAGAGAGAGAGAGAGAGAGAGAGAGAGAGAGAGAGAGAGAGAGAGATGCTGGAAACCAAAAGAAAATAGCGACCAAACTTCCAGGTACTGAGGAAATAGGTGAACTATTGACTAGTTAGTGCTTCAAGCATGCAACAAAATAGAGAAACGACACTGATATACAAGGAGATAAGAGCAGTAGCACAAGCATAAGCAGTAATCGAAGCAGAAACAGTAAAGGCAGAGGCAGAGGCAGGACAGTAAGCAAAAACAGAGGTAGTAGTAGTAAAAGTAGGCAAAAGTACGAACGGATTACGAGGTGGAATATAGGTAAGATTAGGAAAAAGCAGCAAATATGATAAAAACAAATAAAAAACTCTAAAGCACAATAGCTATTATGGAAGCAATATCGAAGGCAGCTCAATCACTTTCACACCCGAGGAAGGGCTTTATATCTCGCGCATTGCAAAGACCATTTGGACACGACGGTAGTTTCAAAAATAATGTTTTGAGAATTATTTAATTGCAAATAATATGAATATTTACCCATTTACATGCTACACAACTTCTAGAAATAGGAATGACAAAAGTTTGCTACCGTCACAAACATCATATCGATTGTTCCAAAGATTTGAGTGGACAACGGAAACTGATTTTCTCGATGCCTGGTCGTATGTATGAACTTTCAGTTTTATCTCTATATTCCTTTTTCCTCTATCTCTCTCTCTCTAAATGCATACCTTTTTAGAGTCTCCTTCGGATACTCTCTGGTACATCGCAGCGGTCCTGGGGTTCGCCATTGTCATCTCTTTGATCGAGGCGGTCGCCCGGAGAGCCAAGACCTGTCAGGGTGACCCCGTCCGTCCTTCAGCTGCCCTCCCGTCGACCTCACCGGCGGGGACACAAGAGCCCCCTCCTCCTTCTCCTTCTTCTTCTTCTTCTTCTTCTTCTTCTCCTCCTCCTCCTCCTCCTCCTCCTCCTCCTCAGCTGCTTCTTCAGAGGAACTCGTTCGGTCCACCAGATGGCCAAGGAAGCGCCCAGGAACACTACGGCAGCGAGGGAGGGGAGCACGAGTACGAGTATGTTGAGTTGGACACCTCGAGGACCCAGCTGGCCAGGGAGGAGGAGGACGCCCGCGAGCCAGACAACGAGCCCGTGCAACCAGCCTGCTCGCTCCGCCGGGACACCGTTAACTCCATCTATTTTCTTTCTGACGAATTGAGTGGCAGGATGTAGATGGGAAAGAAGATGAGAAGAGCGAATTTGAGCTTAGAGCAGGGGATTCTTTTTCTTTTCTCTTGTTTGTCTGTTACTTGTCTTTGTTTACCGCCCATGTACACGAGTCACAGCACGCCATCACCCAACTAGATAATATTCTTACAGAGTAGAAGTAATACTCAGAATCAGCACATGCTTCGAATCTCCAAAATGCTTTACCAGAATGCTTAAAATCGCTGGCCATACCCGCGTTGAAGACGCCTGTTCCAGAAGTTTCTATGCTCCTTGCTCCAGCGCTCTGAAACACGCCACCGTTCGCAGTATGTTGATATGGTAATTGAAGTAACACATCGTGTATGTAGATATGATGGTAATTATATTTTGCTTTTAATTCAATTTTAGTGATTGTGTCAATAAGAAAATGAACATACATTCAATTTTCCATGACATTTAGAGAGGGTATGAATGAGACAGGATATCTTCACAATACAAGATTTAACCGGTTTCGATTACGTCTTCGTCAGAAATACAGTATTTCTGACGAAGACGTAATCGAAACCGGTCAAATACATTTCTTGTATTGTGAAGATATCCAGTCTCATTTATACCCTCTCTACATTTGTCAACATGGATACGGGTTTTCCATGATATACAAGAAAATTTGTCTGAATATTTTTGACGATAAATATAAAACAATTTCCGTCTTTTTTTTTCTTTTTTTATATATACATATATACATGCGTGCACACATGAACTCACACACATATATGTGTGTGAATTCATGTGTATATACATGTGTACATACACAGGTTTATGTGTGTATATATATATGTACATATATATGTATATATATATATATATATATATATATATATATATATATATATATATATGTATGTATGTCTTTATACTATATAAAGAGGGAAGAGTGGTAATAGCTACGAAATACTTTTCTTGTTTGGCCATTATTAAATACGGCAAAGTCTTTCAAATAACATGGAAACTTGATTTCATATCTTTAGCTAGAAAAAAATATATTCATTAATATCGTTTTATTGACATTTGTAGCAAACCCATCAATTCTGGTTTGAAATCATTTTGCTTAAATCAATACTGAGATCATAATCTAAATTCTACGTGATTTTTTCATGAAATTCCTCAAGCGTAGTTACTGAAAAAAGCCATTTTACGGTTGCAGTTAAACAGGCAGTGATAGAGAACTTACGTTAATATCACAAATTTTCCGTAATTGTATTTCTTTCCATCATTTCGATTTGTTGTACATTATTAATTCCTGTGGATTCTAGGCTAGGATTTAGTGTCTGTGTTCTGTATGAAAAAATAACATCATCTTTATATTTCATCTTGAAAAGGCAAGAAATGTTACCTTTCCTGTTACATAATTACTGCAAATAAATATGATTCCAACAACAATAAAAGCCATTATTATTATCATTATCCTCATTAGTGTTATTATTGTGTCAAACCATCTGCGCCTGTCCGTGCTCTGTCTGCTTCCCATGGTATTTCGTCCAGAACTTTCTCTCTATAGAATATGACGTCACATTGACGTGGCGTAACACCTACTTCTCTCAGACTCAACTATCTAGTTTCCAAGTTTTTCACAATATTCTAATGCTAAATGCTACCATTTACTTATATTTCTTTTAGCTGATGTGATATACTTCTTTGACCTTACTGAGCACACAAGACTCTAAAGTACTTGGACAGTGAAAGGGCATGATGCATGGCAAGTGATATTCTTAAAGAATTTAGAATTTGTAAAAAGGAGAGAGAAAGAAAAGATGTAACGCGAAATATTTCTTATATCAGTATCATTTAATATGAATATTTGAAGCAGGGCTGGAAAATGGGCAGATAAAATATATAAAGTAATACCTTGCCTCATCTTGTAGGTATTCACACTCACCATCATGTGTATATGTACGATGAATAATTTAGAGAAAATTATGTGAATAGCGATAGTTTATTCTGAACAATCTTTTAGGGAGAGGCATGTGCTTCCTCTCATGATTGAGGGAGAGGCATGTGCTTCCTCTCATGATTGAGGGAGAGGCATGTACTTCCTCTCATGAGTGAGGGAGAGGCACGTGCTTCCTCTCATGAGTGAGGGAGAGGCATGTGCTTCCTCTCATGAGTGAGGGAGAGGCACGTGCTTCCTCTCATGAGTGAGGGAGAGTGCTTCCTCTCATGAGTGAGGGAGAGGTGATGAGTGAGGAGAGGCATGTGCTTCCTCTCATGAGTGAGGGAGAGGCATGTGCTTCCTCTCATGAGTGAGGGAGAGGCATGTGCTTCCTCTCATGAGTGAGGGAGAGGCATGTGCTTCCTCTCATGAGTGAGGGAGAGGCACGTGCTTCCTCTCATGATTGAGGGAGAGGCACGTGCTTCCTCTCATGAGTGAGGGAGAGCACGTGCTTCCTCTCATGAGTGAGGGAGAGGCATGTGCTCCTCTCATGAGTGTGTGCTTCCTCTCATGAGTGAGGAGAGGCATGTGCTTCCTCTCATGAGTGAGGGAGAACATGTGCTTCCTCTCATGAGTGAGGGAGAGGCATGTGCTTCCTCTCATGCGTGCTTCCTTTCATGAGTGAGGGAGAGGCATGTGCTTCCTCTCATGAGTGAGGGAGAGCTGTGCTTCCTCATGAGTGAGGGAGAGGCATGTGCTTCCTCTCATGAGTGAGGGAGAGGCACGTGCTTCCTCTCATGAGTGAGGGAGAGGCATGTGCTTCTTCATGAGTGAGGGAGAGGCATGTGCTTCATGAGTGAGGGAGAGGCATGTGCTTCCTCTCATGAGTGAGGGAGAGGCACGTGCTTCCTTTCATGATTGAGGGAGAGGCACGTGCTTCCTCTCATGAGTGAGGGAGAGGCATGAGTGAGGAGAGGCATGTGCTTCCTCATGAGTGAGGAGAGGCATGTGCTTCCTCTCATGATTGCGGGAGAGGCACGTGCTTCCTCTCATGAGTGAGGGAGAGGCTTGTGCTTCCTTTCATGAGTGAGGGAGAGGCATGTGCTTCCTCTCATGAGTGAGGGAGAGGCATGTGCTTCCTCTCATGAGTGAGGGAGAGGCATGTGCTTCCTCTCATGAGTGAGGGAGAGGCATGCTTCCTCTCATGAGTGAGGAGAGGCATGTGCTTCCTCTCATGAGTGAGGGAGAGGCATGTGCTTCCTCTCATGAGTGAGGGAGAGGCATGTGCTTCCTCTCATGAGTGAGGGAGAGGCACGTGCTTCCTTTCATGAGTGAGGGAGAGGCATGTGCTTCCTTTCATGAGTGAGGGAGAGGCATGTGCTTCCTTTCATGAGTGAGGGAGAGGCATGTGCTTCCTTTCATGTGAGGGAGAGGCATGTGCTTCTTTCATGATTGAGGGAGAGGCATGTGCTTCCTTTCATGAGTGAGGGGAGGCATGTGCATGAGTGAGGGAGAGGGAGTGAGGGAGAGGCATGTGCTTCCTTTCATGATTGAGGGAGAGGGATGTGCTTCCTCTCATGAGTGAGGGAGAGGGATGTGCTTCCTCTCATGAGTGAGGGAGAGGCTTGTGCTGCCTTTCATGAGTGAGGGAGAGGCATGTGCTTCCTTTCATGAGGGAGAGGCACGTGCTTCCTTTCATGATTGAGGGAGAGGGATGTGCTTCCTCTCATGAGTGAGGGAGAGGCTTGTGCTTCCTTTCATGAGTGAGGGAGAGGCATGTGCTTCCTTTCATGAGTGAGGGAGAGGCATGTGCTTCCTTCATGAGTGAGGGAGAGGCATGTGCTTCCTTTCATGAGTGAGGGAGAGGCATGTGCTTCCTTTCATGAGTGAGGGAGAGGCATGTGCTTCCTTTCATGATTGAGGGAGAGGCATGTGCTTCCTCTCATGAGTGAGGGAGAGGCACGTGCTTCTCATGAGTGAGGGAGGCACGTGCTTCCTCATGAGTGAGTGAGAGGCATGTGCTTCCTCTCATGAGTGAGGGAGAGGCACGTGCTTCCTCTCATGATTGAGGGAGAGGCATGTGCTTCCTCTCATGAGTGAGGGAGAGGCTTGTGCTTCCTCTCATGAGTGAGGGAGAGGCACGTGCTTCCTCTCATGATTGAGGGAGAGCAGTGCTTCCTCTCATGAGTGAGGGAGAGGCACGTGCTTCCTCTTCATGAGTGAGGGAGAGGCATGTGCTTCCTCTCATGAGTGAGGGAGAGGCACGTGCTTCCTTCATGATGAGGGAGAGGCACGTGCTTCCTCTCATGAGTGAGGGAGAGGCACGTGCTTCCTCTCATGAGTGAGGGAGAGGCATGTGCTTCCTCTCATGAGTGAGGGAGAGGCACGTGCTTCCTCTCATGAGTGAGGGAGGCACGTGCTTCCTCTCATGAGTGAGGGAGAGGCACGTGCTTCCTCTCATGAGTGAGGGAGAGGCACGTGCTTCCTCTCATGAGTGAGGGAGAGGCACGTGCTTCCTCTCATGAGTGAGGGAGAGGCATGTGCTTCCTCTCATGAGTGAGGGAGAGGCACGTGCTTCCTCTCATGAGTGAGGGAGAGGCACGTGCTTCCTCTCATGAGTGAGGGAGAGGCACGTGCTTCCTCTCATGAGTGAGGGAGAGGCACGTGCTTCCTCATGAGTGAGGGAGAGGCATGTGCTTCCTCTCATGAGTGAGGGAGAGGCACGTGCTTCCTCTCATGAGTGAGGGAGAGGCACGTGCTTCCTCTCATGAGTGAGGGAGAGGCACGTGCTTCCTCTCATGAGTGAGGGAGAGGCACGTGCTTCCTCTCATGAGTGAGGGAGAGGCATGTGGAGTGAGGGAGAGGCTTGTGCTTCCTCTCATGAGTGAGGGAGAGGCACGTGATGAGTGAGGGAGAGGCACGTGCTTCCTCTCATGAGTGAGGGAGAGCATGTGCTTCTCTCATGAGTGAGGGAGAGGCACGTGCTTCCTCTCATGAGTGAGGGAGAGGCACGTGCTTCCTCTCATGAGTGAGGAGAGGCACGTGCTTCCTCTCATGAGTGAGGGAGAGGCACGTGCTTCCTCTCATGAGTGAGGGAGAGGCACGTGTTTCCTCTCATGAGTGAGGGAGAGGCACGTGCTTCCTCTCATGAGTGAGGGAGAGGCACGTGTTTCCTCTCATGAGTGAGGGAGAGGCACGTGTTTCCTCTCATGAGTGAGGGAGAGGCAGTGCTTCCTCTCATGAGTGAGGGAGAGGCACGTGTTTCCTCTCATGAGTGAGGGAGAGGCATGTGCTTCCTCTCATGAGTGAGGGAGAGGCACGTGCTTCCTCTCATGAGTGAGGGAGGCACGTGCTTCCTCTCATGAGTGAGGAGAGGCACGTGCTTCCTCTCATGAGTGAGGAGAGGCATGTGCTTCCTCTCATGAGTGCCCTCCGTGCTTCCTCTCATGTGAGGAGAGGCACACATGAGGAGAGGCACGTGCTTCCTCTCATGTGAGGGAGGGGTGAGGAGGCACGTGCTTCCTCTCATGAGTGAGGAGAGGCACGTGCTTCCTCTCATGAGATGAGTGAGGGAGAGGCACGTGCTTCCTCTCATGAGTGAGGGAGAGGCACGTGATGAGTGAGGGAGAGGCACGTGTTTCCTCTCATGAGTGAGGGAGAGGCACGTGCTTCCTCTCATGATTGAGGGAGAGGCATGTGCTTCCTCTCATGAGTGAGGGAGAGGCATGTGCTTCCTTTCATGAGTGAGGGAGAGGCTTGCTTCCTTTCATGAGTGAGGGAGAGGCTGTGCTTCCTTTCATGAGTGAGGGAGAGGCTTGTGCTTCCTTTCATGAGTGAGGGAGAGGCTTGTGCTTCCTTTCATGAGTAAGGGAGAGGCTTGTGCTTCCTTCCAGGGCGCCCGAGCTGTGTTCGGACGCCCTGTTTGTTTGTTTGTGGGTGCGGCCGTCTTGCCTCACACTCATGGTAAACTTGCGATCGACCTGCGTCCACATTGCGGCGATGTGTGTCTTGAGCAAACAGTTTTATTTCCGCGCGAAAAAAAGTAAAAGAAGAGAGAAAAAAACAAAAACGCACGCCTGACCTGCGTGTTCCTCGCGTGCTCCTTGCGTGATTCAAGTGAAGCATATTTTATGATCCGAGGCCAATGATTCAAGCGTTGATTTCAGAACTGTATTAATGTGTTGGGTACTAATGTCATTAAACAACGGTAATAAAAGAACATCATCTGAATGTTCGTGTCCATTGTTTTCTACCTTAGATCTGAATGTGAAATGAAGTCAAAAGACTATATCATTAGAATGGCTTTACCAATTAAATCAAGCACACATGTATGCATGAATATGTATCTACGTGAGTATAGACGCACATGCATCCCTATGTACCCCTGACTGTGTACCAACGGGAAGGGCATAAGATAGAACGATATAACCAAGGCGCAGTAGGAAGATAAAGAGATCAAGTGATAGAAGTAAGAAATATGTTGTGATAAGAAATGAGCGTGATATATGCTGGTGTGTGTGTGTGTATATATATATAATATATATATATATATATATATATATATAATATATATATATATATATTATATATATATATATATATATATATATATATATATATATATATATAGATATATATATATTTATATGTATATTATACATATATATATATATATATATATATAATATATATATATATATATATATATATATACATAATATATATATGTATATATATATATATATATATATATATATAATATATATATATATATATATATATATATATATATATATATATATATATATATATATATATATATATATATATATATATATATATATATATATAATATATATATATATATATATATATATATATATATATATATATACATATATATATATGTATATATGTATATATACATAGATAAGATATATATAGATAAGAGATCAAGTGATAGAAGTAAGAAATAAGCTGTGTGTGTGTGTGTGGTGTGTGGTGTGTGTGTGTGTGTGTGTGTGTGTGTGTGTTGTGTGTGGTGGTGTGTGGTGTGGTGTGCAGGGTGATTCGGGAGAGTTGGGTGTCCACGGCAGATCTTGTTTTACTCTCTCATATTCCACTGGTTGTAGGGGAACTGCCTTTTGATGCGGGCACGGTTGTTTACTCGCTGCCCTACAGCTGTGTCCTGGATATAACGAATGAACTCTAGCATGCCATCGAGCCTTTGAGCTTTATCTGAAGTGATCCTTGCCCTATACCTG